TTTTAGACTCCTGGAAGAATCAATCTGAGTCCTGGAAAAGTTCTGGAATTATTTGTTTCTGAGATATGGTGCGAACCCTGTTGTATATATTATAAACATGCTTCATTTACTGGCTAACTGGCATGTTTATATGTTGTTCTTATTCAGTCTTTATGGTCAAAAGTGCCATGTAGTAAACTGTTAATGGAAACCAGCTCCCAATTTACAGAGTCCGGTTTTTGTTTGTGTTTCTGCGTTGTCTTTTCAGTAAGACGAAATTCATAATGGCTAATGTAGCACATCAGTGTTGACTCGTAAACACTGAACGACTGCTTTCTCCTTGGTGAAAGTTAAGAAGGTAGATTACAATGTTAACAGATAAAATTTCCTTGTAAGGAATTATTCTCATGTGCTTTAGAGCCATTAACCCAATGCGATAAAGCACATGTTTCTTATTTTTGATCTCAGTATTAATTTGCTGCTTAATTTATTTGTTCGTAGCGACATAAGCGTTTTATATGTTACCTAAGAGATTTAAGAGCCAACCTGTTTGTTTCTACAGTTGTTACTCCTTGGTGACTGACTTACACATAGTCATTTTCAAGACTGAGAATTCAAAACAACGGGACAACTACAAAACTTCTCTTTAAGGTAAGAAAATTATGGAAAAAATTATAATATGTGAATTCTAGTCTGTGTGACTGATTTAAATAGGTAAATATATTTAGCAGTGTTTGTCTGCATATGTATGGGTCTAAAACAACATCGTTGGATTGTTTTACTCGCTCGTGAAAGTTAGCCTCATATCCAACAACTCTGACACTTCAAAAAATGAGGCTAACTACTAACTAACTTCCACGAGCGACTCTTCATGGAAGCCTGGATGTCAATAAAGGATCCGCAATCTGGAAATGACCACATCGCCATCCCAGAAGTCTGCAAGTCTTTGGCACGCGCATAAGTCTCCCGCTACATTTCCATGAAACTTCACCCGGAATCTTCCTCAGCGCGCGTTCGACGTGCTGCTTTTTGAATCACGCGTACTAACGTTAATATTTCAACTGATGAAGAAACGTCTTGAACGAAACATCAAAAATAGTCAATGCCAAACCATTATCTTACAATGGCGTGAAGTCAGTTGGTACAAAAGTAGACGCTTGAGAAAAATGCACTAAACATTTCTTACATGATGGATTAAACATTTAAACAAGCCAAAAATTGCAGATGGGGTGCAAATTGGATCGCGAGGGGTGGGGGAGTGTAATGGTTGTTCCATTTTGAAAAAGTTACCGCAGTTGTAGGAAATGTACCTTTTCATCAGGGAAATGAATGAGCCTGTGGTGGTAAATTAGGCAAAGCTTTTCCCAAGTTATTATACCAATAGAGTTGTGCATCTCTACAATCTTACTACAAAGTATCGTTCATATATGTGAAAACTAATCCATGTTTTTGGTCATGTTCTTACTGCAAAAAAGCCGTTGCTCTGGCCGTTGATACGTAAAAAAACTTTTACCACTGTGTACATTTCACACTTATCTAGAGGTAAATACGAAAAGATCATTTCAAAATGTTTTTAATAAGCGTTGAAGGGTCTTCTTGCATGTTCAAAAAAATGGAATTTTTAATGAACATTGCCATATTTTAGGGCAGTATTACTTTAACTCTTCCTCGTACGAAAAGTTCAAAAAAAATTTGAAACGGCTCAGTTTGGAGCCATTCCAAACCCCCCTTTTCAAACGCCCTTTTTTTTCACGACTCACATTTAAACGATATATGCCCTTTCCAGACAAGGCGAACGTCAGAGTAGCCTAGAAGCCCGGCCTTGACTACCTCAGTTTTAGAATGTTTTCTCCCGTGTACTTTTGCTCGAATGATCTGCGCTTTGCCTGAAAACGTTCAAAAATGTTTGAACCCCCATCTGCTCGGGGAGGATCGGGGAGCGGTTTTCCATTGTATCGCTGGACGTGATCATAGAAGGTTAGTATATTACTTTAGATGAAAACACTAAGCTAAAAGAGGCCACTGGTTATTAAAAGAACANTACGTCAAAGTGACTGATTCTGGTTCCAGGAGAAGCTTTAACATTTCAGGTAAGCAGGATGAGTGAAATTAAATTATCAAACGTAAGCACATTTTAGACATTTTAGGAACGAGCAAAATTTGGCGCGTTCATACAAGCAACAAAGATGAGAAAACCTTACTCATTTCTGAACTTGTGGTTAATTGTTTAATAGTTTTTAATTGAATGTCAATTAATTTGTTACCTAGGTATCTTTCATAACCAGCACTTCAGTTCCAAGTTTATAAAACTCGAGACACGTAAGCATTCACAGAACTGAAAGCGGAAAATCTAGCCTATTTCTACGTTTCGCAAGCATTGATCATGAACGACTCAGTTGCCCTAAACAAACTCATCAGCGTTTGTCAGGGAACAATTTCATCGCTAGGGGTAGAATCATTAGTTCAATTACCAGCAAACTTTAGCGACATCAGATCAACCTAAACTCGTGATTTCATTTGTATTTTTTCCGGTGAACGCGTAAGTTTACTTTACAACAAAAGCTAAGGGCCACATAAACTTGAAGATACTTGATTGTTAGATTAATTACAGATTGAAGACACATATATGATCTGCTGTTGTGATTTATAATCGAGTTCTTTATCTTAGTTTATGGTACATTACTTCCTTAAACCGGGGAGTATTTACAATTAATCAGTAATCAGTATTTACTAGC